GCACACACACACACACACACACACACACACACACACACACACAAAGGTGGATGGTGCCTGAGAAAGATACCTCAGGTTAACCTCTGGCCGACACACACACATGCATTCACGCATGCACACACACACACACACACACACACACACACACACACACACACACACGTACACTCTGCACACACATGCACATTAAAATGATAAGGAAACAACATGGGGGACTTAGTTCAATAATTCCCACGTTGAAGCCTGAAAAGAACTAAGCCTCAGTGGAATTGCTCTCTTTTGCACATTGAAACCTGACAATCAGCCCATTTTACAGATGGGAAGCTGAAGTACAGAGATGTCCAGTACTCGCTCTAAATTACACAGTGGCCGAGTGTCCCCACCCCCAGGGGGGTGACTTAGATTCTGAGCTTGTGACCTGAGTTCACTCTCTCAAATCTGTCAGGGTATTATCCCAGCCGTGGGGCCACCTCTCCCGGTGACCCCTTCCTGACCTCTTGGCCAAACTTGACAGGACTCACTCAGCCCTTTACTCTACGGGACCTCCACCACTTCCTTCCTCCACCTCCTGGATTGGGGTCTCCCTGTTCATTTCGGTCCCCATAGGCCATTTGTACCCCACAAGCACCAGAGGGACCCCGTGAACACCAGCGTCCCAGCATGCTCCCAACTGTGCCTGGCGCCAGAGTTAGGAAAGGGAGAAAGCCCCTCCCTGGGGTGAGCAGGGGTGGGGTGGGGACTGTCTCACCGTTTCATGTTCTCTTTGGCTACTCCTTGGACGTAAACGGACATTCCAACATTGAGGCCTCCTGGGATGGGCCTCTTGTAGGGCAGAGTCTGAAGAAGGAGCCAGTTAAAGAGACTCAGAGGCCGCCCGCCTGTCACAGCCCCTCCCCGTCACCCCAAAGACCCCCAGTCCCTTAAGCAAGGGGGATGAAACTAGGGGTGAGGGGCTGGAGATGTGGCTCCATAGAAGGATGCTTGCCCAGCATGGCAAAGGGGGGTGGGGGGACGGGGTTTGGGGAAGAGGAGGTGTGGGCTCAGGTGGGCATCTCACCGGGTTGTAGGTGGGCTGGTAGCCTGGTGCTGGGACAAAGGCCATCTTGAGGGTCTGAGCTGACCGCTTGTCCTGAGAGAAGTGAGGGAGTGTGGGGCGGTGGCCGGCTGCAGGCGGCCCTTATACCAGAGGGAGTGGCTGACGGGAGAGTTCATCAAGTCTCTCTGGTGGGGATCTCTAGGGCACACCCTGGTCTCCCGGCCTGGCAGGGATGCTGCCCCTCCGAGGTCCCCCACTAGGAGGAAGTGTTCCTGGACTTTGACCTTGCACAGCTTTATCAGAATCATAAAACCCTGCCTTGCGGACTGTTGGCAGAGGGAGGGGAGACCAGCTGGGCAGGGCAGGGGCTGGGCCACAGCAATACCTGGACAGGTGGCCAGTAGAAGCAATCCAGAATGGCGGGGGAATGCCGTGTACCTCCTGACCCTGCACACTCCAAGACAGGGCCTTAGAGCACGCAAGGCTGGGGCCACAGGTCTGGGATCCAGTTCCACCCTTGCCCATTCCGGAGCCGGCACCTCACTCTGTTTGCCCATTTGTCAAGTGGAGGAAATGACAGCATCCACCTTTGAATGCTTGGAATGAACAGCAGACAGTGGTCGGACTGGGGACCCAGGCTATAACCCCAGCACGTAGAAGGCGGAGGCAGGAGAATGGCTGCAAGTCTCAGGTTAGCTCAGTAGGCAGAATGCTTGCCTGGCCTGCAGGAAACCCTGGGGTTCATATCCAGCCCTACATAAACAGAGTGCGGCAGCGATCCATGCCGGCATCCAAGCACCCGTGAGCAGGATGGTCCAGGGTGATCAAGGTCATCCTTCACTACACAGTGAATTCAAGGCCAGGCGGGGCTACGCGAGATCCTGTCCCAAACAAATGAAAACCCAGCAACAAAGCCCAGTGTGGTGTCTGTAATCCTGGCACTCAGGAAGCAGAGGCAGGAGAATTACTTGCAAGCTCAGGGGCAGCCTGGTCTACAGAGCAAGACTCTACCTTAAAAAGATAAATAAATAAGTAAATAAATAGATAGATAGATAGATAGATAGATAGATAGATAGATAGATAGATAAATAGATAAATAAATAAAAACTAAAAAATCTGGTCATGGTGGCACTCGCCTTTAATCCTAGCACTCAGGAGGCAGAGGCAGGTAGATCCCTGTGAGTTGTAGACCTGGTCTGTATAGTCAGTTCTGGGATGACCAAGGCTATGTAGAGAGACCTTGTGTCAGAGAGGGAGGGGGAGAGGGAGGGGGAGAGGGAGGGGGAGAGGGAGGGAGGGAGAGAAGGAGGGAGGGAGGGAGGGAGGGAGG